CTGTATATCAGTCCGGACTTATGTCAGTGTTATAGTGCTAGCCCAGTGAGATACCATGCCGCAACATTGATACCACACACAGACACAGTATACTAACTGCGAGCCGACCAGTCCTTGTTTTATCCCCTTAATATACCGATCGCAAGACAGGGTAACAACAAGTACCATCTTTAAACGTCTTTTGGTATGACGCGGACGCGAATTGAACCACCGATCTTCCGCTCTCCGGGCTGGCGCTCTATCCACTAGACCACAGAGGCGGTGGGAGACGTAAGGGAACGGCATACATGGACAACGTTATATACTAACGGAGAAATGTAAGTGTGCTTCATATAAAGTTCAATAGAAAATACATTTATTCTGAAATGAAAACATACATCTTTCAATACATATTCACCTGCTCGACTTTAAGGTCGTGATTCACAATTTGCACGTGCATGTTAATGCACGGTGCATAATTTGGATGTTGGCGTGGTTTTGGGTAGCGTGGTACTCACAGACGTGTGTTATTAATGTGGACAGCACACAATGATTTGTGTTTAACCGTAAATAACGCTTACGCAATGCCACGGCTTGGTGAAAATCAACGTCTACGCGTCATGAGTAAGCTGCAAACAGGAATTACACAAAAAGAAGTTGCCAGACATTATAATATTCATCGAAACATATCGAAATATTATCTATTTGGAGACGTAATCTACAGCAGGTAAACACTAATGACTTGTCACGGGCCGGCCGTCCACGTGTGACATAACGTCAACGACAAACAATCATATTCGGTTGGTGCACCTACGGAATCGATACCAAACTGCCACATTGACAGCTCGGACACTGGGTTGAGACGCAAATGGTGGTCACACCCGATATTGATATTGTTTATTGAGTTGTTACACCACCCCTCTTTTAGGGCCCGTAGCTATGTCTCCTGTCACCAGGTATGAGTTTTGTCAATGCATTTGATTTTATAAAACATTGATCAGACGAATGACCAAATATTATGGATAACATTTACACCACTTTATATGAAGCACTGTTGCTTTTTTCCGTTAGAATAAATACAGTTCATGGTGTGGGAGGTGTGGATTCAGGTTAACATCAAGCATAGCCGATCCTGGTCATGTGGCAGTTATAAGTGGTCTAAAACGGTGAGCAGTCGGTTGAAAGTTGCAGGGTTAAACAGCCATAGTCCAACGACTTGCATCAAGATGACTGCTGATAACGTTTAATAATGAACGTCTTAACGTGGCGAATCACGGCTCGACTTTACAGACGGCCGAAGTCTTGTTTGGAGACAATGAGGTGACACGGCCTCGCATCGCCTACAGCTGTATGTGACAGACCTGATTTGTCTTTGTTTTGAATTTAAACTCACGGGGTTTGTTAACGCCATGAGGTTGTGGTACCTGTCACCATAGAATACCGTGGATAATCGAGGATGGTCTATTTCAGACAACCATTCAGTTCTTCTAGTTGTTTTAGAGTCCTCGTAAATCTTGTCCAGGAAGTACATAGGTAGTGGTGACTACTGGGATATGAGTGGCTTTTCTAGACGACCCTTTTTTAAAGGGGACAAACATAATCTGCTATAAACTACTTTAATCAAACGTCACGTATAAGACAGCAAAAATGCTCGGGCTTATATATATATATATATGCTCGTGACGATGAAGGTCACGGGTTACAGTGTGTCAAATGTCATTGTAGTATATGCGTGTAAATAACTGTTGTATGTTAGATATAGGTTATAAAGGTAAACAGCCATGCATACGCATCCACATTTGTCATTATCCTGCAATGAGAAAGGTCTATTGGAGGGCATATTGTTTTAGTATGCCTTCATCCCGATTCATATCGAATTATGCGACAGACGAGTGTTTGTAACAGGAATAGCGGGGACGAAATTTGCAAAAACGAAATCCACCTCCAGATAGGCCGACAGGTTGAACACAAATGGTTATTATACATTTGTAAAGTTAAGGAGAAAGGTAGTCAGACTGACTGACTATGGGAGTCAACTTCCTCATCTGTCATTAAGTCTTTACCTGTACGGCAACAGGCAGACAGACAGACAGGCAGACAGACAGACAGTGTTTATTGACACCTGAATACACACTCATTACATACGCAGATCACATGACTATAGTTAATCTGTCCCACCCTAGTCTGTCTTACAGACCCTGATACAAATATATCAAATACAGCCCATGCAAGTCTATAATGTTTGGCAAGTCTAGATTTCTGAAGAGAGGCTCCGGGCTCCTTTTTATTAAATTTTAATTAAGATAATTTAACAACTGTTTTTTTTTGTCTGTACGATATGTTCATTTCAGGGACTAGATGTTAGTCTATCCCACCCCCAACCGCCCTTTTTAAAGCATACTGAATAATTATACAATTGGAAGTTTTAGAGATGACTGGGAATACATGCTGTAAACGTATTATTACAACACTTAACTATCTTAGTTGGTAATCTGTCTTCCACAAAAAGAATACGGCTACCAAACTGGAATTGAATTGCGAATTATTTGCTACGTGTAGCACATGTTTGTTACCTTGTGATCACACCGCTTGCAGGGATTGCCATGTTATTTCTGTATATTTAATTGCATGACGTCATTGTTGTGAGTTGTCAGTGGATGAACCTGTCAACGCTGTGACTGATCTTACCGAGATCACATGCCATGTAATATTGTCATGCGCGCGTGACATCTATGACCATATAAGGGAAATTGCATAAACCATTGCACAGTAGATGAAGCGGCCTACGGGAGAGCACCAGGTGCTGAATGTGGTATATCCAGCCACTGACACATGTCGCTGACATAGTTTTAATTACCTCATTAAGGCTTGATCAATGTATTGTATCTTACGGGCGTGCCAACCTTGCAGTTTCCAGTAAACAATATGTTTTAAAACCGTCTGTGTTTCAGTGAAATTATACTTTTAAGCATTCTTTCGTTTACATCTTGCAAAACAATTTAATTCTAAAAACAATCTTTCCGGAACACACCGTTTCGGAGTATCTGCTTACTCCTTCATCAGGTGAATTAATGCTGCGAAGAGAATATACACATGTTCCAGTAAGAAAGAACACACACACACACACACACACACACACACACAGACACACACACACACACACACACCACACACACACACCACACACACACACACACACACACACCACACATATATATGTAAGAACAACAACAAGAGTAATAAGATAAAAAAGGTCGAAACTTAACAAGGGAAGCCAACAGTTAATTGGCGCTAATGGGTGATTAGAAATGGACAAATGGAAGTCAATAAACTTAATAGTTCAGTACTGTATTTGATAAGGGTATTATTTTGAACCTTAACTTGCAGTGTTTCGGCGACGTAAGCAATAGTACGTTTTGATAACGTTTTTAAATATTTGGTCGAGTCCAACTCTCAGGTGCATACTTTATTTTGCTCGGCAGTTTATGGATGTCTTCCTCTTCTCCGTCTTTCTATAGTATAACATACTTGATTTTCCATCTTACTATCTAATGATATTTTCACAACCTGCCTTATATTTAACAGATGTTATATTTGGGATAACACTTCCTCAGTAAAGTACAAATTCTAGTATTTATTTGCCTTAATTTGTTTCACATCACTTCATACAACTCCCGAAAGCTAATTTTATACGCAGACATTAAAATGATTGATCTATAGCCATACTTAACTGTGTCTGCACATTAAAAATAACATCGTCTGTTTATTACCTCGAGGTAAAGAATGTGTTCATTGCAATTGAAATAAGATCCATCAATCAAAGATCTGTCGTTAGCAGGTCTACACTGCCAAGTCGGTGACGATGCACGTGACATGTGCCTCCACAAAGGCGACCCTGCCCTTATTAGTCGAGGAGTGCTTTGTAATCCTGCGCTTGCATAACGACGGGATTATAATGCCATTATGAGAACGCTGCGTATTAAATAAACTGGCCCCATAATTTGGGTTTCACGCGAAATTAGATATTTACCTAATGTGACACAAAACACGTGAGTAATCGCCTTTCTTTAGGGTGGAGCTAAGACTGACGGCGTTAGTGGTAACGCCCGCATAATGCTTTGAATATTTTGTATGGACATGTATATTTGGAATGTGTTTTATAGCTTCTAAATTTAAACATGAATTGAATAGAAACATATTTATATGATGATACATGTTGTAAAACATTTTAAAAATAATTCTTGATGTAACCGCGCATGCCTTCACACACGCTTGGTGGTGCTTTCACTTTATTTAATATGAAGCCATTTCACCAGGTAGCATGAACACCTCTATTCCAAAATAAGGGACTGGTATTTCAATACAGGTGTGTGGGGTGGGGTGGGGTGGGGTGGGGTGGGAGGGCTTTGTGGGTGTTAGGGCATGAGAAAATAAAACAGCCAAAGATGGGGTAGCTAAAAAATTCCACAAGGGGAGGTTGGGGGTGCTGAAAGAATGACACAATTATTTTCAAATAAAATCATTATTAATTTGAACATTAATTAGAGACTGCTCATTTGTTATGGGAGGGGGGGAGGTCATGAAAAAAATGTTACATCAAATTGGGGGGAGTGGGTCAGTTTTTTTCCATAAAGGTTCGTAAGTCTTTTTAGCAGGATCGCCATATAGAAAACTATGTATTTTCTCTTGATGAATACAACACTTTATTATGAAGTAAATATGTTTTCCATCGTTTACTCAATACTCATTCACAAGATGTGTGTGTGTACTTGTTGTTATATACATATTATAAGTATCCTAAATCGAACTAATTATCATAATGCTATTCCTTACTAATCAAAATGCGCATCACTCGGAAGAGTGCTTAAAAAGTATCGACATGATATCAGCATCATATATCACAAAAGAAATAAGGTTGTCTGTCTTTCAGTTCATCAGGCGACTGTCACCTGAAGCGAGACGTCCGGAATTTGTCGCAACATTTCTCGTACCTTGCAATATGACGTTGAAATGGTGACGTCATGTTGAAAGCAGGTGCAAGTGAAAACGAGGCAGATTACGGGACGCATTATTTTGTTTGATCGTCAATTTACCGAGAACTTGTGGGCTACAATCGATAAGCAACGCAAATTCATTGAGCGGACTGGATTCCTGATGAATACTTCTACTGGGTGCTTCATTTTCAGCCAGCTATGATGACGGATTGAATTTATCTTGCATTTTATTGAAGTCGAATTTGTACATTTGCTTGTCAACATGGCGTCCAGCTCAGTGAGTCAAGAGAGCTTAGACATGGAGGACTTTGAAACGACGCGACAAAGAAACAGGATAAGGACACACCGAGGGAGAGGAATGTTTTACAGGGGGGACAGAGACGGAGGGGATCATGTGGATCGTGAGGGTCGGGACCAAAACGGGGAGGGAGGGGAAGGCCATCCAACATCGTTCAGTCAAGACCACGATTCGCCCACGCGCACGGTTGGCAGAAGCAAAGATAAAAGAAGCCGACCAAATCACCTGCACAAGGGGAAATTACCAAAAGACAAGAGGAAGTTGAGGGAGAAAAGAAGGAGTACCGGGGTCGTCCACTTGCCGTCAACTGAGGTATGTTTGTTTGGAAGACAACGGCCAGATTTGAATAATTTCCCTTGCTACTATTCCATGGCTGGAAACCAGCTGATAACATGCTACATTGTAAGCATTCCGATGACATCATACCAACTCAGTATTATATAATTGTTGTTACAATGTTGTAAATGTTGTTTAGTGATTGTCACTTTTCCTTTCTTCTCATTCCCGTTATGAAATTGTTACTGTCACGTTATTTGTTGAACTTTGAATCACCTGTTCGTGTGACATTCTTGAGTTTACTATGTCAGGCAGGTGTTTGCACCCATTTCCCTGACGGGGCATGCGTGCCTGTTTTCTTCTATCGTACATTATATTTCCAAATATTTTTGTTCCTTGTTTTGTTGCTGTTTCTTTTGTTTATCTCTGTATGTCTCTTACCTGATGTGTTTTTCTACAGCTGTCTGTAGCAGATGTAGGGGTATGACAATTCTACTTTACAGACTCACTTATCTCTGCTAAAACATGTAACATATACAATGTAGTGACATGGCTGTCAACTTTGAAGCTTATTATAAGATATACTGCCTTGAACATTATTGCAGACCAGTTAAATTAAGTGTGACGCTAAACAAAAGCAATCTGTGAAAAAATAGTTTGAGATAAATGCTGAGTGGCAAATTCACACCTATTTCTCCATTGTTTGAATTGTTTGCGTCCTCAGCATTTTGATGTCATATGAGTATTGTCATAAAGAATGAAGATGATATTATCCATTTCTCATGACATCACAGAAGAATAGACGTGTCATCATTTGTCAATAGTGCATATGGTTGATGTCTCCTTCAGTAATTCGCAAACCTACATTTTTCTCCATTACTTACGAAACAAGAGTATTGGGATTATATTAAAAGATTATTTGTCACTCAAGATTTCAATATTTTGATTCTCTAAAAAGATAATCTCAATTCTTATTACTTTGTTGAACATTTCCTACACATGTTATTTGTTATTCATGGCATATATGATTTAAAAAAATAATAACATCTGTTTTCTGTAATTTTCTAGGACAGCCATGTCATTACATACCTACTATTATCTTATCATATGTAGACTTTCCAACATAGATCTAAACTTTCATTATTACATATCAGTTGTAACATGTCTCCTTTTTAACATGCTTTTATCAGTATCAACCCCTATGGGCATGTTAAGGCTGAAAGTTCCTTTGGCCATGTTTGGCACCAGCACTTTGCCAGTACTGAATTTACTCCTTAACTTGTACACTGGTCCTTTCATCTAACAAATGATATTTCATTTCTTGCATAGTAAATATAATGTTATGTCGTCCAAAAAGGTTTGAAAGTTTGACCTTTCTTAATTTTCTGCTCCACTCGTTTGATAATTAATTAATAAAGAAAAGTCCTCTTTCTCTAGTCATGATCTTCAATTTGAAAACACTGCCAGAGAAAAAAATGACTTATTCAGCCTAGGTAAAGCAACTGAAAGTCTTTAATAATCATGATATATTATGTAGCTTGTTCTAAACATGATAATGATGGCGTAGTTATGATTGACATATAATTCATTTCATTACATGCTTTTGAAATAATATAATGCTTATTGCTTTACATATAACTTGTTTAAACATGTTCATGGTACCTCTCCATAGATGTAATACTGCTGACACGTCTCTCTCGCCTCTCTCTGACTGTCAGTGGTATATTTCTGTGTGTTGGAAGTTCTATGCCATGGGTAGTGGTGTTGCCAGCTGGGGAGACGAGGCAAGTCTTGGGCTGCTTGTTACTGCCCTAGGAGTATGGAAGGGAGCTTTGTTATTATTGGAAGTAACTTGTACTTTCATTTACGGGTGTAACGATTCACCGATCATGTGGTACATCGCGATACTCTGTGCCATGATCATGATGATATGAGAATTGTACCGTGAGGTCTAGTGGTGTAACGATTCATCGATCATGTGGTACATCGCGATACTCTGTGCCATGATTATGATGATATGAGAATTGTATCGTGAGGTCTATTAGTGTAACGATTCACCGATCATGTGGTACATCGCGATACTCTGTGCCATGATTATGATGATATGAGAATTGTATCATGAGGTCTAGTGGTGTAACGATTCATCGATCATGTGGTACATTGCGATACTCTGTGCCATGATTATGATGATATGAGAATTGTACCGTGAGGTCTAGTGGTGTAACGATTTACCGATCATGTGGTACATCGCGATACTCTGTGCCATGATCATGATGATACGGGAATTGTATCGTGAGGTCTATTAGTGTAACGATTCACCGATCATGTGGTACATCGCGATACTCTGTGCCATGATTATGATGATATGAGAATTGTATCATGAGGTCTAGTGGTCTAACGATTCACCGATCATGTGGTACATCGCGATACTCTGTGCCATGATTATGATGATATGAGAATTGTATCATGAGGTCTATTAGTGTAACGATTCACCGATCATGTGGTACATCGCGATACTCTGTGCCATGATTATGATGATATGAGAATTGTATCATGAGGTCTAGTGGTCTAACGATTCACCGATCATGTGGTACATCGCGATACTCTGTGCCATGATTATGATGATATGAGAATTGTATCATGAGGTCTAGTGGTGTAACGATTCATCGATCATGTGGTACATCGCGATACTCTGTGCCATGATTATGATGATATGAGATTTGTATCATGAGGTCTAGTGGTGTAACGATTCATCGATCATGTGGTACATCGCGATACTCTGTGCCATGATTATGATGATATGAGAATTGTATCATGAGGTCTAGTGGTGTAATGATTCATCGATCATGTGGTACATCGCGATACTCTGTGCCATGATCATGATGATATGAGAATTGTATCATGAGGTCTTGTGGTGTAACGATTCACCGATCATGTGGTACATCGCGATACTCTGTGCCATGATCATGATGATACAAAAATTGTATTATGAGGTCATATACTAATACAGAACGATCCAAATTTTTATAAGCAACTGAGAAAGATGGCATGTAAAATTCTACGAAAATGATGTTTGGTTGGTTGGTTATTTAATGCCGCACGCAGCAATGTTCCAGCTACATGACGGCAGTCTGTATGGCAAGCATGGGTTGCTGAAGACCTATTCTATCCCGTATCTTCACACTGTTATGCACAAGAGATCTCAAGCCTCTTTAACGTTAATTCAAATCTACTCATGATGATGGAACATGTCTCCTTGCACAACCTTACTGTCTATGTGTACCGTATCTGACGAAGTGTATCACAGCACGACCTTACTGTCTATGTGTACCGTATCTGATGAAGTGTATCACAGCACGACCTTACTGTCTATGTGTACCGTATCTGATGAAGTGTATCACAGCACAACCTTACTGTCTATGTGTATCATATCTGACGAAGTGTATCACAGCACAACCTTACTGTCTATGTGTACCGTATCGCGATGATGTCTATCACAGCACAACCTTACTGTCTATGTGTATCATATCTGACGAAGTGTATCACAGCACAACCTTACTGTCTATGTGTACCATATCGCGATGATGTCTATCACAGCACAACCTTACTGTCTATGTGTATCATATCTGACGAAGTGTATTACAGCACAACCTTACTGTCTAGACCGCCTCTGCGGTCTAGTGGTAGAGCGTCCGCCCGGAGAGCGGAAGGTCCGGGGTTCGATCCCTGGCCGCGTCATACCAAAAGACGTTAAAAGATGGTACTTGTTGTTACCCTCGGCATTAAGGGGCTAAAACAAGGACTGGTTGGCTCGGAGTCAGTATACTTCTATCTGAGTGGGGTATTCATGTTAAACTGCATCATGGTATTTCAGTGTGCTAGCACTATAAATCGGCATCAGTCCGGACTAGTACAAGCAGTCACACACACACACACACACACACACACACACGCACACGCATACGCATGCACGTCGCTATATAAGTGCAATAATCTTGGACATGATGTTAAACCCAATTTCACCTCACCTCACCTTACTGTCTATGTGTATCATATCGCGACGAAATGTATCACAGCACAACCTTACTGTCTATGTGTATCATATCGCGACGAAGTGTATCACAGCACAACCTTACTGTCTATGTGTATCATATCGCGACGAAGTGTATCACAGCACAACCTTACTGTCTATGTGTATCATATCGCGACGAAGTGTATCACAGCACAACCTTACTGTCTATGTGTAGCATATCGCGATGATGTGTATCACAGCCAAACTTTACTGTCTACTGTCTATGTGTACCATATCACGATGATGCATATCATATCATATATCATACTATCCTATAAATAGTTTCAAATGATTTGAATAATGATTTTATGTTTGTGTAATTTGTAATATGTAATATCCAACAGCTGTGATTTCCATGAGTAATGCTTCTGATGTTGTTCTCGAAGGACTACAGCAAACACAGTCAACACGTTCAATGCTTTGCTGTAGAAATGATTTGTGGGCTTAATTGCTTTAATTTGGACAGTGTAGTTTTGGCAAATGTTGTACAAGCATTCGTGAGAAGTGTTCCTCAGCATGGGCAGATGCTTACAAACAGATTGTCTCATTACAACCTCTCTTGTACTTTCAACAGCGGTTAGTAACAGTCCTGAACAATGTGCTTAATTCATATGAAAATATCCCTGAAAAAATATTGATTTTTATACATTCCATTGTAAAGCTTATTCCTAATTGACATGCCTGACATGTCTGGAACAAGTTAATGACAAAATGAGTATTTATTATTAACGAATGTGGAATTACATACAGAGAATGGTGAGTAATTGTGGTGTTGGCTGGAGTACGTATGCGAGTATATCCTGTACGTGTTCCTTGTGCCCATGTGCTGTTAATGAGGCTCCACAAATCAATTATGTTGTTTCTATTTCTAGGTTGCTTACCACATTAACGTTAAACATGGCAAATGACTTTCATTATCGTTAAAGTATGATAAGGGTATGTGTCTACAATCAATGTGTTTATTGGTGGTTTGACAGAGCACAGGTGGTTTAACCATGTTGAGTGGTTTAAGTGCCACAACCTGCTTTTCAAGTAGTGTTTAAAGATCTGTTGTATCATCTGCAGGTTTGAATCCCTTGATATGGTAGTGGGTGTGTCTACACAATGATTCTGCTTCTGTTTCACCAGACTGATAAATATCCTGGTGCTGGGCCTTCTTCGCACATAGTCATGTTAAAAATGATGACTGTCAAGGTTATGCCACCAATATGAAAATATTGTTTGTTTATGTAACCATGGAAACATGACATGTTTAGGGATAACATGTAACTAGCTACAGGGTAGCCCTCTAGTTAAGGTGTTTGCTTGCATGCAGAGTACTCTGGTTTGATCCCCACATCATTAATGTATGAAACCTAAGGTCCATCAAATGGCTAAAAATGTAATAAAACCATTCTCACTCACTCACTCACTCACTCATCTGACTGAGACAGACTTTTGTCGTTAGATGTTGCCAAGTAATTATTTTCAAATTTGTTTAGTTTTGACATTTGAACTAGGTTTGTTCACAACTGTTAAATCTCGGAAACAACTTTCAAATCGTGTATACTTGTAATAAGTGCCCCCTTTGGCAATTTTGCAAGGGCCCGGGCACATATTATGGTAAATACCATATAATTATGGATCATGCTATAACAGCTATCATGGTTAATAAACTTGATATAATTTCTTCATGATTTTAATGGAAACTTCCTTGACAAGGATATGAAATATGCTGGTCGGCTTGTCATGGTAGTCAGTGGTAGCAGACTTTGACAAATACAATGTTTTCAGGTGGTCATCAGGACCAAGAAAGTGATCTTAGCGCTACGACGATCGTAAGTCTCATGTTGAAGTATGGGAGTTAGGACAATCGTAGTGCTGTAAACCCAGAACTACAGAAACCACCTGTCCCACATTAATAGGCTACTACAAAACACCAGTTTGAGTAATTTCACAAAGTTTCCATGCCTTTATGTCACGAATTATGTGCCAAATTCAGTCCTTTCCTTCTGAGAACATGTTTAGCAATGGTTGAATGTAGAGTCATGTCATGTTTCCCTCTAGCCAGTCGACAGCCTTGGTGCTATGTTACTGGTCTGGCATTTGTCTGATGCCGACCAGCTTATTTGTCAAACCCTGTCTCGTATCAATAATCAATATTATTCATGTGCCATAGACATTGTATGAACAATATGTATGATATTCATGATAGGCCCAGGCCAAAACAATGTCTTGTTTTTTCATGATTTTTCAAAACTGAGTAGGAAGGCTCAGGGATGAATTTAGTATTTCTATTTCTATTTTTTAGCATTGTTTAGTCTTGTTACTAGGTTACAAATCTACAAAAGTTAACTTGATTCTTCTACATTTCTCAGATAACTTTGTATATGTGTGACCTATATTTAATTCAGTTTGGCCTTGGATTACCTAGTAAATCTGATAAACTATGAATGACATGGCTTAAGCAAAAAGTTTAAATCTGGTGCTAAATGTTTTGAAATTGTGTTTTACAAGATATTTTTATGAAAAGTAGATGTGGGGGCAAATTTTGTGTAGGGCATGAAACACAGAATATTCTGTTATTTGAGGAAATATGTGATTAAATGGTAATATGTGTTGTTAGTATACATGGTAGGCACTGCAAAGGTGGAAATACTTTAATTCATTACTACCTGTCACACATATTTAATATTTATGTATACAATGACACAGATGTGTTTACTTTTCATATATATTGTGATATTGATGGACACATATACCTGGATGCAGAGACAATATACCAGAATAACTGAGTTTGAATGTTATGGATGCAGAGATTTGTTTGTATGTTTCAGAGTACTGGAGACTCACTGGATGAGGACGATGATGATGACAAAGTTGCCATGGAAACCAAGAAAAACACAGCATTTAATGAAATCACAGATAAAAACAAACCAGCTCATGAGAGACATGATGTAAGTTAAGAAAGGGCACTTGAAACTATATATGTTTTATGCTGCATTTAGTAATATAACAGCTGTATTATGGCGGCCTCTTCAATCCAGGGATTGACATCATGAGCATCCATCTTTGCAATTGGTATACAGTAACTTGCATCAACTAAGACAGCACCTCTTACGACAAGCTTGGGTTGCTGAAGACCAATTCTAACCCAGATTTTCACTGGTGGGAAATTGGTATATTGGGACACAGTTTAAAATTTTGAAAAAAAAATATCTGAACTATTTTAACTGTGTAAAATGAATGTCATTGCTAAGTTTTCATTTAGCCATAGTAATATGCATTCAAATTAATGCTGCCAAGTATTTTTGTGAAAAGAGAAATTTAAGGACTCTGTATGTTCAGTATGTAACCATATCATAACCATGGTAACCTTATTGTTGTATGTGAGTTAAGAAGATGTTATGCTTGCATAGAGCTTTCTTAATCCTAAGTTTGTATCATATCACCTCCCTACCGTTGTGTAGGAAGGATCAGTATATCTGTCTGTGTGTCCACCAGTCCTTCTATCTAACCACTTTATGTCTCTTTACAACTCCAATAAGTGTATGGTTATGATACTTTACTGTAGAAGTGATCAAGTATTTTTACTTTGGGGGAAGTTTAAGTTGGACTTAGGCTGTGATTGGGTGTTTACGGAGCAAAACTAGTGAACATATTGATTATTTTCTTCATGAATCATATAATGATGTGGTGCCTAATTTCCATGACTTTCAGCAAGGGTGACGTTGTTGATGTGCTTAAAAAATAAGTAAAATAATGTAATTTCGAGGTATGTCCTTTACATGCTTTGAAGCAACAGGAACTTCACAGTGCTATTATGAATTTGACGATGCTATTGACACTCTAAAACAAGGAATTTCGGACACTGTATTGCCATGTGTCGGTAAACTTAAGTAGGCTAATCCTGAAGATGTGTAACTGATACCATTTTAGATAACAATAGTATTGTCTACTGAATTCTTCAAATGCAGAATAATACATATGTTGCATTCAGTCAGGATAAAGGAGCTTTGAATGGGACCTGTACATCATGTTAAGTATGCCCATAAGCCATCATGGCAAATCCCCCAGTTGTGACAATCATCAGTGTTATGAGACTAAGTGATCTGTGTGATCAATGTTTTATTCCCCTTATGCCATGCTGTATCCTGTATATCGGCTGCATGTGTGTACATATTGTACTTTATGAGCCTGTTTATGGTGTTATCAGACCTCAAGCTGCAACAATGTGAGGCCGTTAACAACATTGTTGTACTTGAGATACAGGCTATCTGAAGTGGTGCTTGTAGCCACTGGAGGACTCTAGTATTGTTGGCAGCTCCCACTCCAGTAGATACTGCATACTGTCATACGGATCATAATATATGCACCCAGCACCCAGTGTTGACTCCAACATGGGTGAATTCAAGCTGACTGAAACAGCATGAATTTTTTGTGATGGGAATTCTCCTATTCTGACTTTCAGAAACAGGAAGTCCAATGAGTCGTCATATTTGGTGACAGTGGTTGGAATTCACCTGAATACAACCAGCAAACTAACAAGACGCCACTAAAACCCTGACATGTTATCCCTCGGGATACCATTTACAAGTATCAGACAAACTCCGGCTGGTGGATTGTGACAATGAGATGTGTTCATGGATTAGAATACATAACATAGTCTTATACTTGATATATGCATAGATGTTTTTGCTGTAATCGCCTTATACATATCTTGGTTACCATGGTTACATTGATAATATTCTTTATTGCTGGTTGTATCAACAATCATGGGTACAACATGTACAATTAGTTAATCATTTGCACATTGTATTGCTACAATTATTTGATAGTTCATGTACAATTTGTGGTCAGTTCAGTCCCAGAAGCTGTAATAGGAAAGCCTAGAAGAGTCTTCTTAGTGACTCCCTGTGTTATGGCCTCTAACCATGCTCACTCACTCACTCACTCACTCCACCCACATCAAGCTGACATGCTGTGATATGAAGTACTGTGCTACAAGTATTATCCTCCAGAGGATTGTGACCATGGTAACCCTGACTTCCAATCTGTGTGTCATTACTACATCTGAAATCACTGTTGTCTCCCCTCACCATGCCATGATCCTATAATATTGGTTCAAGTTGCCCTGACTATCACTCACTACATTTCAGTTTATATCCCAACATACAGGAAATTAAGACATGTTCTACAAGGTTAGAAATCATTTTCAAGTTCTGTTTTCATGAAACTGTGCCCCTCACTGACTGACTGACTTACCTTTCTTGTTCCAGGGTCACAGTCACCATTCAAGTACGTTCACAACAAGGAGAAACAAGAGGTAAGACTAGGTAGAGGTCAGTAGCCACTGGGCAAACTGTTTTCTAACATGGCTCAACTGTTGCAGGACTGACCACCTCAGTGGTGTATGTTTAGTTTTGCAATGTCCATCAATGACTTACAATAGTTTTTATTGATAGTCAAACAGGATTGTATGTAAGTCAGGCAAGTTTTGTGGTGAGTCACAAAGTAAAATAAGTAATATTTCAGCCATTGGCCTTTTTCAGTCCTCTCTGAGAGTGGAACTGAAAGTGAAATAGTCCATTCATTTGGTATCAAAGTTTAAACAAACCTTGATTACATTATAAGAAACTGTACTGTATTTCAACATACGTGTAATACATGCAGCAAATGCCCATGAGTTTGTGATTCTTCATGTTAATGATAGTTGAAGGATCTGCCTCATACCTCATCAAACTCTGCCATACGTAAAGAAAATAGCTGGTGATATATTGAAGTACTGCATGAAGGATTATTTATGTTTTCAATACTTATCGTAACAGAAATAAATATAACAACAAAATATCAAAACATCACTCATGTACAGAATGTGAACACCCACTTTTCAGGAGTGTCAACTCACAGCAGGACATGTAGACAAGATGCCTCACTTTTGTAATCTCAAATCTTTTAATGTCAGGCACTTGCAAACCTGTATTGCAATCATTCAGGAACAATCTCTCACCTGACCTGATTCAATTTCTGCTTTGCCATTAATGGTTGACTGATAGTATACAGAATCATTTTTCTTTTTCAGTCCATCTGATCTCGAGGCTGATCTGGAGGACAACCAAGATTACGACAGTACTGTCAGCCATTCAGAAACAAATCTCACCCTGATCGGTCGATCCGAGTCATCTGATACCCACATGTCCCAATCTCTCCTGGACAGGCCCGTAGGAATATCCAAATTTACTCGCTGTTCACCGGAATCTACCAAGTCTTTCACTTCAACGCACATGGCCAACATTAGTGATCAGGAGGCCAAGGGCTCAGTCTCGTCTATGAACACTTCCTCTGTTTTGTCTCGGTACAGAGAGTCAGAAGCTCCGCTAAGAGACATTGATCAAAACAGATCCAATATTTCTAAGATGAGAGACAATAAGACCGAGTCTTCGTATGGCTATTTGTCGTCCCGGTTCCGTGATAAGGACCAGTCTCATGGTTCATCTCGCCTCAACTACCATGTTCCACGGCCGTTCATGACGCAGAACAATGACAATGCTGCTTCTTTGGAGAAGGTGAAACAGGTGACTTGATTCTTATTTCCTTTCTTTGCTGGTAATAGAATGACCTGTCTTCAGTTTCAGCCCCCTAGGACTGAGGGACCATCTGAGTAATGGCATGGCAGTTGTCTGTCATCTGTCCATCAGTCTTCAATTTTTGCAGAGATGCCTAGCACCATAATTAGACTTGTGACATTATAATCAAGTTGTTAGTATGTAACAATTTGATATGTGTATCACTGGAAAAAAAACAATCTTGAAGAATCCTTTCAGATACCTCAACATCAAGGGACACCCTCTGTGGTCTAGTGTTAGAGCGCGTCTGCCTGGAGAGTGGAAGGTCGGGGTTCAATCCCTGGCCGTGTCATAGCAAAAGATGTTAAATGATGGTACTTGTTGTTACCCTGTCTGCTGCTTGGCATTAAGGGTCTAAAACAAGGACTGGTCAGCTCAGAGTCAGTATGCTTTGTCTGAGTGGGGTATTCATGTTAAACTGCAGCATGTTATTTCATTGGGCTAGCAATATAATATGGGCATTGGTCGGGACTAGTACAGACAGACAGACACACAAGCACATGTGCAAGCATGTCTCTTATAAGTGCAATAATTTTGGACACGACGTTAAACCCCATTTCACCTCAACATCCAGGAATCTGAAGTATTATTATCTTGTGTAACTTAATGGTATTCAGATGCCAGTTGATCTTGAAGCCAGGAATATGAGAAATTGATTGCATATACTGATGACTTGTACGAGGTGAGCAGGAGTACCTAGGTGCTCTTTGTTTAACTTTCCCCTTGCATTGTCTTGTACTGATGACCCATTCAGCAGTGTAGAGCGTGTCTAAAGAACAAAAGATTGTTGTATATCTGACCTGATTCTTTGGATTGTACTCATGGCAATGTGTGGCTAGAGTACAGCATGCAGTTTACTTTGCTGAAACAATGATGCAGGTTTTAGAAGTGAGTAATATCTGCAAAATTATTTTTTGGGAGCCAAGAAAGAAAAAACATTGATAATAAAATGTCATTCCTTTATTACAGATTAATAATTTTGATACTTCAAAACTAAAAGTATTTATACGAAGGTCTTTCTTTCATAGTGCTAAATGTAGCATGACATAGGTATAACCTGGCTGACCTGCTGTGTTGCTGGTCTCTCTCTGTTAACTGGGTCCTCTGTTCTCAATGTTAACTTGACGCCTTGTTTCTACTATCTGTTAACTGGGTATTCTCTCTGTGAACTGGGTATTCTTTCTGTGAACTGGGTATTCTCTCTGTGAACTGGGTATTCTCTCTGTGAACTAGGTTTTCTCTCTGTGAACTGGGTATTCTCTCTGTGAACTGGGTGCTCTCTTTGATAACTGGGTGTTCACTCTGAACTGGGTGTTCTCTTTGATAACTGGGTGTTCACTATGGTTACTGGGTGTTTAAGTGACACACTGTCAATTTGGCCCTTTATCTCCACGTTTCTTTCTCTGTGTTTACTGGGAGTCCAGTGTTCATTGTTAACTGCTCCCTGTATGCTGACAAAGTTCTTGTTGATGTTGCAGCTGCTGGAGAAAGAGAAGGAGGAGAACAAGAAGCTGCAGCAGTTGCTGGAGGACAAGGATCGCAGGATAGCTGAACTGGAGAAAGAGGTGTCCCTCCTCAATAAGGTATTGACTGATGATGACCTCATCTCAGTGTGATATAATGGTAGACAAGGAAGGTGGCTCTCCTTGACAGATGACAGTTGCACAAAACCTGACCCCTGATGATGTCTTCATGACTGATGTCTGATGATACTCTTGAAATACTACCCAAGTAATGGTATCTTCTAATAATAGGACTCAAACTAGCTGTTGTCACCCCCGCGGGATGGAGATAAGCCCAAACGGGCTCCAACTAAACAAATATTAAGAACTCTGAACTCTTACAGTCAATTTGTCACAGTAAGAAGCCAACTTCCTATTCCAATATCTTAAAAGTCATTGCCAGAGATTACATTGTTTTCATTTCTTATCTTCTCAGGAATATATTTAATTTTATAAAGAGGCATAATTGACAATGCAAGGTCTACATACTTGAAATAAAGGAGACCCCAACTCAAACAGGATGATGACAGGTTAAATAAAGCAGCAATAGTGTCAGCACTATTCAGTCAGTCAGTCAACAACCAGACAGCCCACAGTCGCTAATTACTGTATGACTATGAAACAATGTGTATTGTAGCTATATATTACATGTGACCTCTCCTACATTGCAGTGTTACCACTAAGGAATAGGAATACAGGGTAATAATCAGTGATACAGCATGGACGTTATTGATCCGTATTTCCCCTCTCTGTTGGCATGTCATCTTCCTACATTTGTTGTAAAACTTTCTTTTTCTTGTATGGAAATCATAGAAATGGCTTCACAGAAACCTATCAAAGTAATTGAATTTTTTGTAATATGTAATAAATATCTTGCAGGTAGCTTAAGTTTAGCATTGGAGGAAATATGTTTAGAATAGGGATAGGGAATGTGCAGATCTCTTGATAGAAATGCAGTCGTAGTCCTTATTGATTTTAACAAATAACGCTGTTTTATGACATTTTTCAACACATGGTAGATGTTCTTCTGATGGAGTCCCTTTGCTTGATTGTGTTTATTGTGATTTCATTTGTTGTTGTAATGCAGAATTTTGGTTGCCTCAAAACCCTTTGCATGGAAGCTGTGTGTGTTTGTAGCCTGTTAATATCACCCCTTGCCTAACTCCAATAACTTTAAGTTGCATTTAGTGCAAGTGATCTTTATAATAAGCCCTCCGTTCCTTTGATATTGCTACCGACAACCCCCACCCCCTGACCTGTTTTCCCAGTTTCCTGGACCAAAGGTCCAGTGAGCTCCTGTTGTGGCATTTCAGCATCCAAAATGAAAACTACATTCAGCATCTGTCAGGAGTCACATTTGTCAGCTCCTCCTCCACCTCTGGACAACTTGTTGCTTTCATGAGGCCCCGATGGCTATTGCTTGGCCAGTTAACAGCTATAGAAGTGTTAAGTCGGGGTAGGTGTCGTTTCCGGACTGAAAAACTGTGAAAGACTTTTCATCCCAACCTTATACATGTATTAATCAAGTGCTAAAGTGGTCACTTTTGCTATTTAGGATTTTTTCAAAATTTGATTTTTCTCTGTTTCCATGAAGACAAGTTAGACTTCGCTGAAATGGGGTTAGGTGTCGTTTCTGGAACAGAACTAAAAAACTATTCAGCAGTTTTTATCCCAAAGTGGTACATGTATTATTCAAGGGCTGAAGTGGTGCCTTTTGCCATTTAGGAATCCATGGCAAGAAGTTTGGCTTTGACTCTGTTCATAGTGGTTTCTCTAAAACTAATAGGTATTCTTTCATGACACTTTTCACACACAGGGACCAGGTTGTCAAATGATGCCTTTTTGCTATTTGGGAGTGTTTAGAAGTAATATTTTTTTCCATTTCCATGCTATTTAGGGATTTTTAGAATATATATTTCCATTTCCATGCTATTTAGGGATTTTTAGAATATATATTGTTTCTGTTTCTATGGCACCAAGTTTGATTTTTACTCTGATCATACTGGTGTGTACCTGACATAGAAATACAGAGTTCCAAATCCCAATTTCATGGTATTGTTTTGATAACAATAACTTCAGTTGTATACGGACTGACAGATTAGATAGAAATTATCTGATCAAGTTTGACTTAAAGTAAAAGTCAGATGATTTGTGCTTTGTAATTTTAGTCTCTGCCATTTGTTGCATAAATGCTGTATATGTGCTTATAACCGACTATGGTTATTGCAAACTAGAATTAGTGGTCCCTTTGTGGTTCGTTATAACCATAGTTTTCTGTATTCAAAATGAGTCTCGAATTAGCCTTATGGCAACAGTCTTGCACAGTTTCAGATCTCTTTCACTTTTGTCAAATTCTGCTTGTCTTTTCTGCTGAACCGTTTAAGTTGTCAAGATTATAAATGTGTTTCAGTGTTCCCCAAATTTAGGCATTCTTCAGATTAAGCATATAAATTATACAAACTATGAACCTTATTACATCATAACATTGTGAAATACAATTATTTTGCATACAGTTGGAAATAATGACCAAACTTAACATTTTGAAAGTTCCTTTCGGCTCAGCTTCAGACTCACTGCTAGATTGTGAACTGAATGTTTTTGCTGTATCTGTGAGCTATAGTACCACAATGTTTTATTGGGTTAGCTTGGTGAAAACTCTCGGTATTATTTGTTTGTAGTTTTGTAGTAGATGCATCTAGCTAGATATTTTATTGAATTGTGAGCATTCTAGGTGTATAAATACAATAGGCCTTGACCGTGAGCAGTAAGAGGGAGATAAACAGGTGTCATCTTGATAGGCAATAACATGCTTATTCCAAATTAGTAACTACACTGTGTTGACTGCAACCTTCTGAGACTCAACTACAGAAATAGTTTGACATCAAAGTAATCATTTAACATATCATCTGAACTATCTGGTTTGTTTTATGTGTTCTCTACATTTGTGTAGCTTGTTAATGATCTTGTTCAGAGACAGTAAATAGGACCGGTAGAAAACATTGCAGTGGGGTGTGTGCCTGCAAAACCTCAAACATTCTTAATTCAGGTCTTGTTTCAGCTCCCTTGAACTTGATCCTGTAGCAGTGATATTATTGGGGACTAAATGCATTAAAGACTTTTTATCAACTTTTAATTGAACATTCTTTGATATAATAATAAAATTTTAGAATATCTGTGCTGCATTTGGATTGTCAGTCTGTCAAGCATTTGCTTGTGATACCAAAGACCAGGGTCAAAACCTTATATGGATAAATGACACTTGCTTACTGTGGAATGAAGACCGATTTCCATCGTTGTCAAGGTTGCACTAGTCTGGGATCCCTCTGCCATGCCCAGGTTCACCTTTGTTGTTTTCTCAGCATTAATTGTCTGTTTTACTGTTTTCAGGAACTTGATGAAGTTGAAGATGAAAACATTAAACTGGAGGAGGACAAGAGTGCTTTAATCAAAGCCATGTCTCAACTTAGTACCAATGTCTAGTGATCGTCATCTGTGTTACCAAGTTTGGCTGATGGAGGGTGTGGGGCCCCCCTTACAGGGCCTCATGGTCCAGCAAGTGTTGTATATAAACCAAACGGGGCCCATGTGTCAAGTTATACATGTTTATATCAGACATGTCCTGTAAGCTGAACAATTTTGCCGTTTAACCTGTAACTTCAAAGAAGAGATAGATCAATGCCAAATTGCTTGAATGTGTTTTATTGTTGTGTTTTAAACACTTTAGTGTGTTAGTTCAAGGTGATGCATCTAAGAAGAATATTAGCACCAGATGCTACGAATTTCATGTGAAACCAAAGACCATCACAAAGACTAAATGTATCAATGTTTCTTTTTATACACAGATCTGAAAAACAAATTTTGTTCATATCTTCACAAATACGGTAGTCAACCTTTTCAATAGGAAAATTATCTGACCACTTGCAAGTCTAACCCTGGTATCAATCTCATATTCATCCAAAAGTATGTACAAACAGTATTGCTTGAAGAACTGATACTGACATTGACATTCATCCTTGAACTAACTTTTGCTGCTGTTTTGAAGTCACAGGTTGAAACAGCAATTGCCGTTAGGTGCTTGTGCAGTTACTGCGATATCCAACTTGCGCCAGTTAGAACCAGTGTCTACTGGTGATGGTCCAGTTCTTAGCGTCCATGTTTAGTGCAACGGCTCATTGTCATAGATTATCATCTATTTGTTCCAGTAAGGTAGAAAATATTACAGTTTATTTATAACCTGGGATGCCAGTAGAAGCTGTTCTGTTGACAGTTTGAGGTTTAGGGCTAGAATGATACGTATTTGGAATGTAATGTATGAAGAATATCGTTTGGATCACTGTCCTTTGAGAGGAAATTGTTATACTGTTTCTTGAAAAGACATCATTTACTGTTATTTCTATGATATCATTTATGCAGATTAAGCAGTTATGACGAATACCAGAATTTGTAAGGTGTTGACCATGTTGACAATTTTTCTGAATTTGGTGATGAGAAGGTTGGACTTGTAGGTAAAAGTCTTCCTAAAGGTGCATGAGGGGGTACAAGATAGAGGTAGATGTGATATGGAGGTAATGGATTTGTGTTGATATGTATCTCTGATCATTCATGTGTTAAGTTCAGCTTTATTATGTGTGCCACATTCATGAAGTTCAACAAGACATTTGTCCTATGTCACTTGGAACTCTCTTTGGCTTCTTGTCACCATCAGTATCAGTGTGTAAACGTGGGATCCTCATCCAGGTGTCCATCACAGCCTGTAGCTCTAGGTCCGTACTCATTAACTGCCAGCTGGACACTTATCATGAATATGAGCTGGCAGTCAAATAATTCTGAATAATTTGAATATGACTTTGAGGCTGCAGTTGTCCAGATTAAAGAGCCTCGCTTTTACTACCCTTTTTCCCTTCTTCGAAGATCCTTTCTATAAAATACATTGCATATCTTTCTTTGAAAAGTAATACATCAAATGTTTTCAATTAAGCTTTTATTAATTTCGAGTGGGTCATTAAATTTGAATGGGCGGGAGATGAGAAAGAAAAAATGAAACTGCAGATTGCCCAAGTTTTCTTCATCAATATAGTGCTGAGATGGCTTGGCACATTAATATAATCCCCCACCTGCCTGAAGTAAGAATCAAAACAAACTTTTTTATTGTTCAAGTCTTTTTCATGTTCATAGGTCACACTTGCTTCTTGGCATGATGGATTAACGATAGTAATATGGAAGAATTGTGTGGTCCTTAAATTTTTTTGAGTAGTGTAATACCAGTTTACACAGTCTCATTGTACAACATGCTGCACCTCTAATGCATCCTCAGATGTACGGATCTGTCGGAAGTTGTCTTCAATAATTATTGAATGAATATGCATTTGAAAATAATTAAGACTTTTTCTTTTTTGGGGTTTATCAGGCTTACAGTTTATATTTTTGCTTGCTACTTTTCTGTTTGCCATGCAATGTGTTCAATATGATCAACGCACAATAAAGCCTAATGTAACCAAATAACATTAACAAGTTTACTGGTTTACACTGGCAGTAAGTTGCTTCGGGGGGAAAATGATTAGTTTCGTTTTCCCTCTTCATTTTTCAGCTGCACAACAAGTTTCCAGTGCAAAACACAAGCCAAAGAATATGAAAAATGTTTGCTCAACTATGCATGGTTGTGAAAGATTTCTCCCCACATTTGTGATGTACTTGTGCTTGTTGTTATGTGGTTAATGAACAGTAGGACTTGTCCAGGTCAGGATTGTGGTTCAAAGTTCAGTACAACTTCTTATGGTGTTTTGTCAACATCTGTCCTATGGCCTCAGGGTCTTATCTGTAAGTGCCTCAATGAACTTGTAGTGTTGATAACTTAGGCAAGCCTATACTGCCTCCTCCGTGTCACATGGGGACACAAGTGACCCAGTTGTCTAAGGCTATAAAGAGATGCTTCTCTTAGGCGTGCCAGAAACCTAGGATTGTGGGTTGGAATTTTAGTTGGCCCTGAGGTTCTAGGTTTGTCAGCACCATTCCCATGCTCGTAGTTTTGGTAAACATCTGCAACCTGCATCACTTCAGGCTTCCCTCCCACATCAAGCTGACACACCATGATAGTAATGAGACAACTGAAGTAGAGACAGACAGAGACAGAGGCGGCATACAACCAAACACACTCACTCACTGGGGTAACCTGTTGATAAAAGCAGTGAGGGCTGAAGGTCTGGGTTCAATTCCTAACATGGATCTATTGTGTGATGATCTGCAGTGTCGTTTTCACCCACGTCCGCTGTCACATGGTGGCCAAGCCTCATAAGGCACTGAGAACACCTGAGAAGTTTGTTCATAGTTTTGTACCATAGTCATGACCTGGAGCCTTTGTGGCATTTTGAAAACTGCCAACATTGCAATCTTTCAAAACAAATTACGAATCCTTTATGGAACATCATTTCTCCATTTGTTTTACTTCAAATTATTCTTGATGGATTTCATGTTATTTATTCAACATTTGTCTCTTATTAAAGCTACTTTTTTAAAAATGTGATACAGGTATTGTTGCTGATCATTATAGAACATGGTATGATGAAGTTATTTTGTTTTTGTGCAAGGTTTGCTAACTTTTCCTGTGATTAATTCTGATGTTTATTAAATATTTTCCCTGTGTTCACACTTTGTAGCCTATGTCATCCCACGTCGAAACTTATGTAAGTGCTTGTTCTCATACTGCTGGGTGCAGTTCATTAGGAATCTAAGGAAGCTCAGAGAGCATTTTAAAAAAATGAATATTTCCTGTCTCATTTAAACCAGCCTGAGAATAGTTTTGGCTTGAGCAACTTCATGTGGGATTGAGCTATTGGTTGTGATTTTATTGTTTTGTTTATATTTTTCATTTCTAACGTGCCATTTACTTTATGATTCTAATAAGTATCTTTACAGTTTACATATCATCTGTTTAATGACGTTTAGATTTACATTACATGTACTTTTAAACAGACCTGTTTGAAGTCTTCCTGGCTTTGTTTGTAAATTACACATTGTGTATTGGTTCTGATAGTTTGAAAAAAATATCACTACAAGATTATTTGGCAGTGTGTGATACCAAATATTATGTCCAGGTGTTTGAGGCTGTCATTGATAAATCAATATCTGGATGCAGACTATTGAAATATTGTTTTGATTTCAATTAATGGAAGTAATCGCGTAACATAGCCAGTTTTCATTAAATATCTTGTCAACAGTGGTACTCTTAGAGAGTCTTTGTAATACCTTTCTCTGTGATAAGAACCCTGGACACATTCCCCCCCGCATCACAAGTGACATCCCCAACTTCATCGCCCTAACTGTACCTTCGCGCAAAGTTGCTCTTACTCATGAGGCCTCATTATTTTCATTTTAGACTGCCTCCGTGGTCTAGTGGTAGAGCGTCAACCTGGAAAGCGGAAGGTTAAGGGTTTCGATCCCCAGCCATGTCATACCAAAAGACGTTAAAACATGGTCACTCGCACACGCACACACACGTTACTAAATAAGTGCAATAATCTTGGATGCGATGTTAAACCCCATCCACCTCAAATATTTTCATTTTATGTTTCACAGATTTATTCCAGGTTTTCCACGCAAGGTCGGTCGAAATAAGAGTAAAATTAAATAGCTATGTCAACTATTGACAACTTCTTGATAGTCATGTAGACATGAAATTTATCTATAACATTTTATGTTGTATAGGAGGGTCTATATTACTAGAGGGAGACATAATAACAATAGATATTTTATGTTTCATTTGTTTCTTGAACCGTCTGTTTTCAGTAGGGGAGGCTGTCTCCTGAAACGGTATCTAAACAATGTGTGGCCTGAGAGTACCACAAAGGACTGAGAACAAAGCCTTGGTAGCCAATAGGTCCAGGCACTGAACAAAATGGAATGGTGATATAATACGGTAAATAATGGAGGATGCTAAGAAATAGGATGGACATAGATTAGAACATTTTACATTGATTAGACTCTTAGCCACTCTGTGAATGAATTACTTAGAATACTGTCTCTGTGGCATAAATGGTACAGGGTCTTACGGCGCCAATGGAAAGTAGGAGTCACCGTGACACACTGCATTGTTTGAGAGTCATGAACATGACAACATGGAGAGTTGTGCATGGGTTGAACTTTGATTGTACCAGATACTGATAACAAAATAATAGGAACATCATGTCGATGCTTAATCCCATGTTTTAAGTTATAGTTACAACACACCAAGACGAGTTGTTTGGGCAGTAAGAGCACGGTTTGGCTTGGCATTTGATTGACAGACAAAAGGACCGGGGCTTGCTGATCTTGGCATCAGCCAATGGTAATAATCTTTAACAAACCGTGCTCTTACTACCATGATACAGCACGGGTAAGATCAAAGGTACTGCTCGCAACCCGTGCTACAAGGGTAAAATATACAATCCCTTTTACTGTCACATGGATGTGTTTTTGTAGTACATTTGCTGTCTGATGAAAATAGGCTGCATTGGTTATGACTCATCAACAATAGGAGTAGAATATTTTGGATGAAACTTCTGTGAAAGATGCAGTACTCCAGTGTCCTGTGAAACCATCTTGATAGGATGAGTGTATATAGTTATGATTTTCATCAATGACAGTGCCATTGGGGTGTAAGACAATCACACAATTTATACTATGTTAAGCTTGTACTCATCAAGGGATAGAGAGACATTAGAGAAAACATGGTCGTAAGTACTGCATTTTTTGCAGTAATTTGTGATATTGTTTTTTTTGTTTGTTTTACTTGTGTAAAGTTGTTTTTGATATCATTACCACGTTGAGCTATGAATCAAATGTCTGGGTATTTCATTGTTTAAGATTAATTTGTATATCTTCGTACTTACAACGGTTGCTATTTAAGTTTTAGGGTCATTTTATAACTACCCAAATTCTTGAAGTTCGAAAAATCGTAGTATGTATCAGTGAAGTTATCACTATTTACAATGAATGAGTTGTAGGTGAGGCACTGCAATAAGCATGGTTTACATTATTTATGTCATGGAAGAATCTCTCATTTTCTCACTACATTTTATGAATAGCAATATATTTGAAACTTTTTCTAGTCTAGTTTTTGTTAGGTACTCAAGTCACACATTTGTTTTTCAAACCTAGCATTTTGAAAATAGATAATTGAAATGAGGTAGAAATGTATGACATTTTCTTTTTGGAGATATTGAACATGTGCTTGTCGGTAGGCCAAGGATGATGTGACATTCACATGAGAACATAAATGACTTATGTCATAGTAGTTCAGGTTGAGGTTTTCTTGTTATTGAATTCTATAGATTTTGGTTAAAAGTAACTTCTGAAATAATTTTAGTTTTTTAGTTTTTATTGTCTTCAGTACGACATATATTTGCAAACCACCTGATGTAAATTGTTCTACCCGTCTTTCAGGTGCAATCTTAGGTTAATAAATAAGTTTTGATGCTTTCTGAAGGGACATGAGCATTGTAGCGATTTATTAATACACTATGGAGGGTTTGACAATGTGATAATTATCTTCTTCCTTGTAACGACCACTGGAACATCAGTGAAAAAGATGCTATTTATTTTAGTTTTTACATTACAGTCCAAGCAATTGCTGCTCAATTGATGACAATTTATATGCATGTTCAGGGTACTCCTGCTATACTCACTAGCCCTGGAAATGGCTAATACAGATGTTATTGTATACAGGGTATGAATGGGAAAGGACTGAGTAGTTTTTGTACAATACCAGTACGGAGGATGCTATTTAATGTATTTATGTTGTATAATGTTTAGAACTATTTTGGATAACTTCAGCTACTGTACATCCTGCAATAAAGTTTATAGCCATGTGGATATTTACAAATGTATTCTTACAGTGTACTAACATATCAAATTTCATCTGTGCTACAGAACAACGCTTGCCAATATTGAAGACCTTAATCAAGGGGAGACAACACCTAGTCTTTATTCTAGTCTCAGCTTTGGGACGGACCATTTTAGTTTGGGGGATGGGATGGGAGACATCAACTGACAAAATGATGTTTTTGCATCCATGTTACCATAGTGATATTTGGAATTCTTTCATCTATTAATTACTTCTTAAACCAAAATTTGAACAAAGGATTTTTTTCCGACATTTGCCGATCGGCTTCATTATTTTTGGAATAACCCCCTTCATTCAAAGATAAAATGGTTTGTCTCTTGTATCTTGTATCACAGGATTATGGATTAAATAATTTCCAAATATTATTACTAGTTAGAAATATGTATGACATTGTTTAAAGTGCATTGTGTGTAACACGCCGATACATTGTCTGCAAGTGCTACAGGTACTCCATGTGCTGTTATCAGTGTTATACACAAGGACATCATGTGCTATGTTGCCATTCATCTATTCAAAATATCTCGTACCAAATAATGTGAATGATGGAGAAAGTTATGTGCATCTTTAGGAAAGGGTTTGATGAAAGGCTGCTTAGTATTTCCCTGTGACCAAAGAACTATAGTGAGTGTGTGAGACTGGACAGAACGTGATGCCCGAGAGTCTGTGGTGGTGAAGATTGTAGAGTATAGCAAGATGCCAAGTGTAATCCACCAAGTGTCTATGTGGTGCTTTGGAAGTTCATGAAGGAAGCTTGACGATGTGAATATTGTATGATTACTATGGTTACAGAGGTTTCTGTGTCTTTGTTCCTCATGTATTGTCCAACCCATTTCAGTCTGTCCGAGACACACGGTGTACTCACCTTCAGAACATCTCCCAGAGGCAAGGGCCTTAACTGACTATAAAAGTCCAGTTTCCACCCTTGCCGGACTAGGCTGGTATTATGGAGTTACATTTAGGCTGGACTAACGAGTCTATGCATAGTCCAATCAAAATCGCGCTTCGAAATTGAAATCCGGTTCTTAAACTGTCATGCAGATTTCGGTCAATTGCAGGATTTGCAAAGCATGTGCACCACTAACTCGTCAACAGATATTTTCTTAATCTTTTCATGTTTTTAATCAAGGTGCTCACATGATTTGATGCACTTCGCAATGTAAGACTCCTTTTATCACAATATATAGATCTTGATTATTGATCAGATCGTCTTGACTTGGCGCCACCGTTTGTTTGAAGCAAATGCAAGTGATACGTGAGGTAGAATCTGATTGGTCCATAGGAGAGGCATAGAAGGGACATAACTCTTAATAGCCACTGGTGGCGCTACGATCGAGCCGAATTCCAGCCTAGTTCGGCAAGGGTGGAAACTGGACTTTTAAAGTCAATTAACTCTCTTGCCTCGGGAAGATGCCTTCAGAAAGGCATAAGATTGGTCTAGTGGTTAGTTTGTTTACTTGTTACACTGGAGACCTGGATTTGGGTAGAATGTGCCATTCCAATCATGGGGTTCCATTCTATGAGAGGGTTGAAATATTGAGAAAATAGATGAGGAAAATATGCCTGTTCCTCTTAGGAAGTATTTAAATCCATGATAAGTAAAAGTAAAACTATTATTTGTAAATTTTGGGTTGAAAGTTTCATAAACCAAGACATTACAATGAGCTTGAAGGGTGACTGAGGAAATGGTAGACATGGGAACTTGGGTAACGAGGAGGAGGGAGAACCTTGCAGAGCACCACATGGCGTCACGGGACATTCTGCTGAAAGTATGGAACGTCACATTGAGTCGTTGACTGTGATTTAGTGTAAGTTGTGTGGCTTCTAAAGGTTTTGTGGTTATTAGAACATTTTGTGATGATTAGAAGACTTTGTGATCAGTAGAACCATTTGTGAATAATAGACAGTTTTGTGCTGAATAGACAGATTTGTGGTTAAAAGTAAACAAGGAGGTAGATATTTGTGTTTTTATATTAGTTGTTGTGAAGTTCTGTTTTGCTGGGAGTTTGATGTTGGGCCACTGAGATTTGAAAACTAAACATGGCGCCTTAGGTTTGAGGAAGCCCATGTTCGTGTAGTATGTATGGTCATATCGTCAGCATGCTGATATTATATTTATTGCTGTCAGTTAGGATAACAAAACGTAGAGATGCTGTACAGCTTTGGAGATATATTTACAATTTGGAGATAATTTATCCTGTAGAAGTAATATGTTGATACTGTAAATATGTAAGTATTTGAAACATTTGTACATTTGTGATCACATATATAGGTATGTAACACATTTTTATTGAAAATCTGACTCCAAATATTCTGAAGGTGTATCATATCTTTACAGTTCTTGTACTTGTGGTAATTTGAAGGCATAGATTGTGTTTATTTGTTAAAGACACTGTAAATTGTATAAATTCCACTTTCTGATCTCACTGCTATAACTAATGGAGTGACTATGTTTGTCTTGCATAATGTGTTTCTTGTCTTTCTGCTCCTGCTTTGTGCTTAGGTTGTGTTTGGGCAGGTTGTGCTCATAAACTGTTTGGGCAGGCTGTGCTTGTAAACTGTTTGGGCAGGTTGTGCTCATAAACTGTTTGGGCAGGCTGTGCTCATAAACTGTTTGGGCAGGTTGTGCTCATAAACTGTTTGGGCAGGTTGTGCTCATAAACTGTTTGGGCAGGCTGTGCTCGTAAACTGTTTGGGTCTCAGGCTCTCAGCGTTGACACATGGTACATTCATAACTTAAAATGGCCAGCTTTATTTCTTGCTTTCCCATCTCTCCTAGATGTACCACCCACACCTTTATGTCCTACCCTTTTCATCGATTAGAGTCCAAATACTTGTATGACAGACCTAGAATTAGTGTAGAAAGGAAGGCATTTGGAAACCATTTTTCAGACGTATTGTGAATAACACTCTCTGCATATATTTGATAGATGTGAGCTTATAATAAATAATGAATTTGTATGGCGCCTGATACCAATTAAAAGCTGCGATTTGATAAGACCTGTCCTTGCTCTGACATGGTTCTTGTCTAGCTGAGAACAGTATTCCATCTTACACCTGTTGGCTGCATTGTTCTGAAGTGTTTTAACATTTGGTTTAGTACATAAGAAAGTTACCCGTGATCCGGGTTAGAATTGGCTTTAGCAACCCATGCTTGCTGTAAGAGGCGACTATGCTGTCAGAGAAAGAAGGTTCCTTGTTTAATCGTCTGTAAATGGTTTCCAGTGCGTCGCTATGAGTCCTTTAGTTCAGGTATAACACCAATTATCCCAGATCATAAAATTCCAACATCTTCAATAAATCAAAAATACACATGTGATATTCAACAGTACATACTTTCTCTATTTATTGAAAACATAGCCAGTTATTTATGACCCAAAGTGTTCCATTCCTTGTTTCCATGGTTACAGTGTAATATCTCAAGCATCTTCCTCATAAGAGGGTAGGCTTGTCATTCCAACACCTGCAATGTGTAAATATATATTAAGTAGGATAGATATTTAGGGTGGAGAATAAGATGCTACACGACACAACCTAACAAATCTAAGGTATATCATTTTGGATGACATGAAAAGTAACATTTGAAGCACTTACTGCTTACCAGTACGAAATGGGATATTTTGTTCATGACTGAATGAAGTTGCTCTTATGAAATAACCAGTAAACTTACAGTAGTAAGAGGGGAATTGGGATCAAATCATGAGAGACTCATTAATTTGGTTGTTGGTGATAATAGGATTCTTCTCCTTTTACTCCCCTTTAGAGATGAGACTGCTACATTTGTGACAAGTGGATCTCACAGCTCTCACCAGTCTTGTCTCAGTTATCTGTGCTATGACTGTCAGAGCTACAACTACCGTAAATCTAGGTTAGGACATTCATAGAGCTACAGACTATTATGTAAATCATAGGGCTACAACTCTGTGTTACGACAGTCGGCATTACAATTGCTCTGTGTAATGTGGGCAAGATGTGTGAAGTTCCCTTCGAAGGCCTGCCCCTGTGGTTGGTGAAGAAAGCATCACCTGTCCGAGTATGCATTGTTATCATTGCTCATCTCCAAGTGTTATATATATTTTAAGTCTGTGTTACAGTAGATATGCTGTTTGTCATTTGTTATTTTCTTGTTGCATCTTTATGTGCATTTGAGGGAAGTAGGTGAAAGTCCACATGTCAAACATGATGGGTATGTTTCAGGATCATATGATGCTTAGATCATGAAATGGAAAACTAAGAAGCTACTTCACTGTAGAAACTTCAGAAGTAATTTTATTGATAAGTACTGCAGAAAACAGAGTCATCTCCCTTAGACTATTTCAGTTTTTCCCCTAATGCACAGTGAGATTTGAAATTGTTTTATTGTCCATTCCTTGCCAGAACTGACTTAAAATTAGCCACTCCACATTGCAGAGTAGATCTGAATTGTTCAAGTGTCAAGTTATGTACAGCAAGAAAATATTTACTTTTTTGCCATATTTCAAATTAGATGACAATAAAATTATGTAAGCCTGAATTTTTGTTTTTATTATTATAATATTGAATATTATCTACAATGTATTTATCACATGACACACCTTATTGTTCCGCTGGGGGGGATTCCAGGTTAGAATAGGTCCCCAGCAGTCTATGCTGGTTGTAAGAGGCGACCAAATGAATTGGGTCGTCAGGCTTGGTGGCAGGGTTGATTGCATGTGTGCATACCCGATGGCATGGATCGTTGCTCACAATATTGATCACTTGATTGTTATTTACTGTCCTCAGTCATTAAACAACAAACACATCTTATCCTGTTTAGTCATCTCAGCCAGCGTTGGAAAAAATCCTATGGGAACTATGTTCCTTCTAGGACATAACAAAAGTGTCTACAAGAACTCGGAATGGGTCTCAAATACACCATGCTTGTCCTGAAGCATTTTCCTGTCATTTTAAGGCCATGTCACGTGGCTGTTTGTTGTTCCCTGACTATGGATCGTTGTTGATCGTTGTCATGCTTGGTCCAGAGTTCATTCAGTTCAGGTCAAAGTCACAAAGGTGAAAACTTGCTGACTACAATGTAAAACATTCACGCTCAAAGCAAATCAGTCTTACTGTCCCAGAGCTGTGAAAACTATATGCAGTGGAACCTCATACTACACTGAGAGCAAACAACCCTTTAACAGCAACATTCAGCACTGCCTTGTTAAATGTCCTACACAGTAACTCTTGTCCAAGGCTTTGAGGTCCATGTTGATACACCTGTATAGGGTGTCTGCTTGGAGAGTGGAAAGTTACAAAACACATTAATGTAGATGTTACTTTCCCTGGGGCTTGGCATTTAGGGGATAAAACAAGGACAGGTCAGCTTGCTCAGTGTGTGTCGGACTGGGGCATGATGTTGATGGGCTAGCACTATATAACCGGCATTAGACCGGAGCAGCCCCACACGTGCATGCATGTCGCTATGTAAGTGCAATAATCTTCCGGTGTAGGATTTTGAAGTCCATGCAGATAAGCCTGTATTGGGTTATGGAGAGTTATCAACCCTGTGGGATAGAATTGGTCCCATAGCAACCTATGATTGTTGTGATTTAATCAGTCAATAGATGGTTGATCAAGCTCAGTTACCTAGGTGATAGTGCGTGATCGTACCCAGATAGAGTGGTCATAATATCAGTCACCGGATTGTTTTGTCCAGATTTCATTATTCACAGCTGGAATACTGTGGAGTGTAGCATCAAACAACAAATGGAGAATGGGGGGAACCGGATATATATGGTCATGGAACTAACAAAAGGCTGTGGTCATTTTGTACATTTGCACACATGTATCTTTGGATTCATTGACAATACAAAATAGAGGACAGGTGGACATAACAAATAATGAACACAAAATAAATTTAGTAAAATAAACTTTATTCTGCACTGTGATATAAGTAAATATGTACCATTATCACATCACATATATCCAAACCAACAATATAACCCTGATACTGGAATATGTGAGTGAATATTGCTCAACACAGCATCAACAATCTTACAGCTATTTGTGGTGAGATTTGGACATGTAACATGAAAGATATTGTTCAGGCATGAAATTAACCTAAATGTTTTTGAAAATAAGTAAGAATGAAAACATGCACAATTTCTCTTAGCAGCACCACAATCAGGAAGAGAATTTATGGATGTCAACTTTTTTATTATGAGGAGCACAACGTTTTGCAGTACATATATATATGTATATACTTACTCCTTCAGGTGAATGATGAACGAGTAAGTATACACTCAGAATGTTGTGTTCCTCATAATAAAGAAGTTGACATACATAAATTTTCTTCCTTATGTGTATCACTTTTAAATGCCTTTCAAAGACTTGAGCCCCACAATCACTATTAATGAATGCAATATTGCTGCTCCCGTGACATTACACACTCACTCAACCATTGCAAAATATGTTCAACAGGCACATTCTTCAACACAAGACTACACAATAGGAAGAATATGTATTGCACATCCTATCATAAGATGGACACACGAATGCACGCACACAGATTATTGCACAGACTTAAAAAAAGGGTAAATGGTCCTGAAAACCAAGAACTACAGCAATCAAGATACAACATGTATACTGAAAACTTAGTCCAGACCCTGCTAATCCAGAAACCTCGCACTTATACAAAGGTTTATTAGAGTGAAATCTGGACAGTTGTTAATCAGGATGATATCAATGGAAATGCTACTCTCCAGTTTAACAGGGTTCCACTATATTAACCGTTAAGTGATACTTGTTTTGAGGCTTTCTGTGTAAAGTACAGCAGTTCCAACACCTCTGGTAACATCAGTCTGTTGAAGTGGATCTAAGCCCTGTAACACCTCTGGTAACATCAGTCTGTTGAAGTGGATCTAAGCCCTGTAACACCTCTGGTAACATCAGTCTGTTGAAGTGGATCTAAGCCCTGTAACACCTCTGGTAACATCAGTCTGTTGAAGTGGATCTAAGCCCTGTAACACCTCTGGTAACATCAGTCTGTTGAAGTGGATCTAAGCCCTGTAACACCTCTGGTAACATCAGTCTGTTGAAGTGGATCTAAGCCCTGTAACACCTCTGGTAACATCAGTCTGTTGAAGTGGATCTAAGCCCTGTACATCATCTCCACAGCTGTTGCAGACCTACATTACATCATAGCACTGCTTGGGACAATTAGTCTGAAAACATCTACCACAGACAAAGAAACAGGCAAGATTGAGTTATCTTGATATTTACCACTTGTTAAGCACCGCTATAGGAATCTCATTAGGGAGATGAAAGAAGGTATGACTTTTAGTGGAACAAAGAATTATAGAAAAGTCTATCAGTAATGTTCCACACAAACTTCCATTAGAATCAGAGCCTGTTCAGAACCAGAAACTCCAGAGCCAGTTTCATAACTTTCCTTCATCAGGGGTAACTTAATATTCATTGAACAGGTGATAATAAGCATGATTAATCCAAATAAAAACAACATATTTCTAATCACCTGCCCTTATCACCCCTTCTCTTTGATAATGACATCTGACAAAACCCTTGAACATGTTGAAACATCTCAAATTTGTCAAAGGAGAAACACTATTTTGTTTGGGCAGTCATTTTGATTGACATGATTTGGGGTAGCACTATCTCCTTCAAATTAGATCTCATCTCCAATATGATACCTCTCTGCATTAAGATCTCAGGACACCTCCATAGAAGGACGCATGTAGTGAACCCTGAGTGACCTTTGACAGCCCAATCAGATGAGTGGGATCTTGAGCCAATCAGATGTCAGGTTTGTTAAACAATTTGGCTTCATTCCTCTTCCACCTTGATTCAGAAATCTGCATCTCCAGAACATCATGCAGAGAGGTATCATATTGGAGTGACAGGTCGGATTTAAATGAAATTAGGCACCAAAATAATACTGAATTACTCACACACAGTTCTAAATCATTGAACTTATCCTAAATATGTTACACTTGCACTGTTAAAGCTATAATGCTGTAGGCTATTTGTATAACTGATTTAATGTAAATTGATAGCCTTACATAATGACAGTTTCTTATTGTAAAGCTGAAAGAGATTCTGTATAATTAAATCTCACAACTCTATATTTGTAAAAGTATAGAAACAGTAAACAATGCACTACATTTGAAATAAGTGAACACAGATTGTTCTGAATGTTTTCTGTGTCCAAACTGGAAGAACTCTAGTTCCTTAAAAAACAACTCCAATAATGACACTGCTCACTATATTTGTAGAATTGACACAGCATGGGTAACAAAACAATAAAAAGGGAATGGAAGCCTTATCACTTATTATAAACTTTGGCAATAACGTTTGGGCAAGTTATATCAATATAATATTTGGCATCGATGTGACAGGATATTGCATTGGCAGAGATATATCAAATTTTAATGTTCACATCATTGACATGGTGGCCAAAAAAGCCATCTGTGTTTAATATAGTGACTGCTATATCAACAGTAAGATAATCATGATAATGACTAGTATGACTTATATTAAAAGAAGGATGTGCCGATGTCAGGCTGAGGCTGTCATAACACAAAGTCCATGTTGACGGTGTTTCCCTCTCGGACGTGGACGACATGTTTCTGCTGGTACTGTGTGCCCCAGGCTCCGGCCGACACGGCGTAGGTTCCAGGCTCGACCAGAATGTGCACATCCTCTGACCGCTGAAGCTGAGAGTAAGTGAATGAGTTGGGTTTAACATTGCCTTAAATGATGATGTGTCAGCTTAATAATCGAGTGAGCAAGTTTTAACGCAACTTTGAACAGTATTCCAGGTATATGACTGCATATAAGCTTACTGTGAGAAGAAATGTGAGGGGATGCTGATCTTAGACGTTTACCACTTCGGTGAAACCCACAATCATGGGTATGGTGCTGACAAACCTAGAAACATAAGTTTTCGAACCCTAGATCATAGGTGTCTGGCATTCCCAAGGGATGCAACTCTGCACAGCGAATTGCGGTGCCTTAGACGACTGAGTCATCCATCCCCCTAATAAACAAGGAAAATCTAAAGTGATACAAATCTTACATGATTTGTTAAAGCCACCAGCAACTCTATGGTTTCCTGTTTGTTTAATGCCGCACTCAGCAATATTCCAGCGATATGACAGATGCCAGTAAATAATTGAATCTGCACCACACAATCTAGTGATTGATATTATAAGCAACCTTCCATGCTATCAGGGTACCTTGCCACACAATCAGCCAAGTCACCGAGTATGACCACCACTGATGAGATATCCCACATCTCCATGTCTACCTAGTACCTACCAAACCTTAAATGATTTATCAGTGCCAGGTGCATGATCACATCATACTCTGCAATAATCTACAGGAGGCCCCCAGTTTCTTATCCATAGACATTTTTTCACAATTGAATTTGGGATGAATGATCTATTTGTCTTGATAATTACTGGCACACATTTGGGTTTATTAGAGTTTTATAACATATTGGTGTTAATTTGCACTTATGACATTTGACTTTACAAGTCTTTTGCTTTCCATTATGTATTAATAAAAACATTCTCATGCAGCTAGCGACTATTATAATCGGTGGTCAGGCTCGGTGACAAGTGTTGATGCATGTCATCATATCCCAATTGCATAGATTGATTCTCATGATGTCAATCACTGGATTTTCTGGTTGACTTGACTTGATTATTTATAGACTGCTGTCATATAGCTGCAATATTGCCAAGTGTGGCTTTAAACAACAAACAAACAAACAAAGTTTCTCTGCAAAAAAGGCATCATGTTAAAACTCAAAATCTTGACAGGTATGGTATAGCTGGCACCTACTGGGTTTGTCTTGTGTGTTGCGGTGTATGTTGGGGTGTGGAATCTGCTGCAGTGGAGGGTGTCCGAGGCACTCCGCTGGGATCTGCCTGCACTGTTGTAATAACGCTGGTATAAAGAAATACAAACAACCTCATAAAGAATTTGGCAAATATTAATGCTTCCTTCCCAGTCTGTGCCAGGATATCATTGAAACCTACATGCATTGTCCTTATCAGGAATTAACAATCAGAGGAGTAGTCAGGAAATGACATACAGCGTTTTCAATGTAGAACGATGTTACACATCAGGTTGATAGTGATAAATTTATTTAGGATGGGGTACAAAGAGAGTGCTGTATTCAACGTAATAAGCGCCCCCTCTTATAAGGGCCCACAGCGATATTTGCTGATATATTGGCAAGTGATCAATCCCAAATAGCACCCTACCGATTGATCAATGTACACAAGACTTAAATTCATTCGTGTATAATATGCACTCGTGTTATATGCACCCTTAATTATGGGCAATTAAATTCAGGAAAAATATATCTGTCGTATATAAACATTTCAGGCTGTCAGCATAAACCACGAAATTAACGATCTTTCAACTCTGTTTTTTCACCAAAATAATATTCTAATAAGAGCCCCCTATTTCTAATTTTGAGAGACCCTGGGCGCTTATCATGTAGATTACGGTACTCTCATCTTACTTTTTGTTTGGTTGTCTGTTGTTTAAAGCCGCACACAGCAATATTCCAGCTATATGATGACGGTCTGTAAATAATCTAGCATGGACCGACGATACATCAACTAAGCCAGCAAGCCTGACTACCAGATCCCGTTAGTCGCCTCTTACAACAAGCATAATCACCTTTTATGGCAAACAAGCATGACCTATTCTAACCCGGATCTACACAGGTTTTATTTTACTCTGGTTAAGGGGGAAACAGCCTAAAATAGGTTGATTACAGTATTTCTATGTTCAAGCTCACCTTGCAGTTCTTGGTGGTCACCGACATATAGTGCAGCATACTGGCCAGTGCATCATCCAGCGACGTGTACACATGGGGGTCCTGGTGGACACATGGAGAGAGACAGTCAGATGTGTTTTATGGTGCTTTTAACACTATTTCAGTTAGATCATGGTAAGTCAGCTTGATGTTGGAGGAAAGGCCGAAATGACGCAGGTCTTAGATGTTTACCACTTTGGTGAAATCCAATGGCATGGGTATGGTACTGACAAACCTAGAAACATGAACCAGGATACGAACCCACAATTATGCCACACCTCAGGCATGCAACTCTGCTAACAACTATGCTCACAGGATACTGGTATGAGAAAGGGAAACAACTATGTTCCCAACCGTGTAGTGACGAGATGATTTTAATACGCGGGCATTTTATGAGTACACCACCTAGATATCTCTTCATATCACTACATCATGTATATGAATATAAACAATAGCCAAACCATTTGAAAGAAAAATTCGGTAAAACGATTTATCATCATTTATTGACGAAATCATGGAAATAGCTCCTGACAAAAGTAATGGATGCAAGGGGAACTATAACCATGCTAACAATTGCAACAACTATAGCCATTAGGCTTGGGACACTTAGGATCAACTCTGGAACCTGGTTCTGGTTTTCTCACCTGTACAGGGTTGTGGCCATACTGCTTGTGTGATGGCCACTCCACCTTCCTGGCCCTGGTTCTTTCCAGCACTTCCTGCCCTACCCTTGAAGCTCGCTCTAATGTGTTCTCAGCCCACATGTCTCCCAAACATGGCTGAAAAATCAAAGGAAGTTGTATTTACCAATAAGGAACTATATATTACAAGAACAGTGAATACACTTCTGCAGAAAACCTTGCAGCATTGTAAACAGATTACTTTGCACAAACAGCAAAATATATCGCTTGACATCATGTGCAATTTGTACCAAAGTCTGATGATATCTGCTCTACACATTGCTTTGCACGTGTCCTAATCTTTTCATTAGCTGAATAAATTTAGAACATCATGACTCATGACTACACTGAAAGTGAAAAGTGACCACATGTATTTCGGGTGATGGAGGGTAATCAGGGTAACAATTGACTGCTTGACTGATCATGCTGATGTACATCAGAACTTTTGAATGAAAAGACTACAAAGTCCTGGTTGAGGAACTTTAATCAAATTTTCCGCGACCGCCAATTAGCCTGAGCCTTTTCAATATTGTTTTCATATTTTTTTGCCATGAAAGGGCAGCATTCATAACAAGTTTACCTACCAAGGTAGACGATACAAAATATATAAGTAACTAAGAAATAATCCAAGAGCATTCAGAAACGAATAACCTTCAAAGACATTTTAAAACAGATCTATTATCCTGGCTTGTTTGTCAACTCTTCTTCTGACTTCTCAATATTCAACGGTTTCGAACTTGTTTATCTCCCTTCATTCAAGGGAGATAATCAAAGCAAAAGATGTATTGGCTAGCCACACATAATATATATCACTGAGTTTTAAAACAGCAACAACAACAACAAACCGATATATTTTACTGAGGCTAGAGGTATGGTGTGCCTTTAAAGTACAGTCTACATAGCTGATTTCGAAATGGTGAATATATTTGCACACAAAACATATTGGATCAACTGTCAATGTAGAAAATTCACATTTGCTTGATTGTGCTCATGACAATATATAATGATATTAGCTTATTGGTGTAATATACTTTTTCAAAATTAAAATTCAGTTGTTATTCACAGGACAGAAATAGATATCACGAAGAACTAAAAGTAATCATTTAATAAACCCAGTTTTGCATATCAATTATCGCAACGACACAAATACAGAAAACATAGGATAAGAACTACAGCTAAGGATTATACGCACGCTTCAATATATATCCTCGTACCTCACCATCTCTCTCTGACACGGGGTGGACATGTGTCGTTTATATAACACAGGCTGACAATACAGGTTCGGAAATATAGATATCAGTTGTTGTCATTGAGAACATTGCTTAGATTCTGCATTTATATAAAATAAGAGAAAAGACCCGCTCACACACTCAGAATGTCGAGAGGCAGAGTTTGACTTTATAGATGACATATGCGCCAGAACTCACGAGAGGCATGTGAACGAATGTTAACCCCCTTAATGCCGGAAGGACATGTACCCCTAGTCTTTAACCCTCACCTTTGTTGAATAAAGAACCATCATGCACACAAAAATGCCGTTGAAGTTCTCTGTTCTGTGATATCAGTCATCAAATGACTACACTGGCGGGCAAAAGAAAGTATACACCCATGTTTGATGGTGGATAAAAATTAAACAAACAAGAAATGGTTATTCGATGGTGATTTTTTTTATACGAGTATCGTAGTTGTGTTTTGAGCCTTAAGCTTGCAGTGTTTAGGCGACATGTTTCACCCTAGTAACGTTTTGATAACGTTTGTTATCATTTTGGTCAAATCCTATTGTCAAGTGTATACTTTCTTTTGCCCGACAGTTTATTTTTAATTATTCCAGCTAATTTCGAATATTTACTAAATCACCATTCTCGGCGTTAAGTGATTTTCGTGTATGTCCCGAAAAAAATAAATCGGATAGTAGCTCGGAGAATTCAATTATTACAAATAAATTAAAATAATAAGTGATCACGGGTAGCTGTGCCTTATCGAACATTTAGAAACGCCTTGAATAACTCTAGATTAGTTAAATATATTGTGAATGAGTGAGTTTGGTTTAACGCCGATTTGAACAGTATTCCAGTGTATTCAGCTTAATGTGGGAGGAAAGCCCGAAGTGATGCTGGTCTCAGACGTTTACCACTTCCGTGAAACCCACGAGCCTTGGTATGGTGCTGACAAACCTAGAAACAAAATCATCGTGAACTGGTATTCGAACCAAGATCAAGCGAATTTAGGCCCCAAAGACGACTACCTAAAATGGTGTCAACTGATTCTGTCGGTCCCCGTGTTGCGTGCACACCTGTCGTGTCCCTACAGATACTCGTCTTCGAGTTGTTCCCGGCGTGATGACTTAGTGGGTGAATAAGTGATTGAGTTGATGAGTGAGTGAATGAGTGAGTCTGTGAGTGAGTCGGTGAGTGGGTCTGTGAGTGAGTCGATGAGTGAGTGAACGAGTGAGTCTGTGAGTGAGTCTGTGAGTGAGTCTGTGAGTGAGTGAATGAGTGAGTCTGTGAGTGAGTCGCTGAGTGAGTGAATGAGTGAGTCTGTGAGTGAGTCGATGAGTGAGTGAGTGAGTGAGTCTGTGAGTGAGTCTGTGAGTGGGTCTGTGAGTGAGTGAATGAATGAGTCTGTGAGTGAGTCTGTGAGTGAGTGAATGAGTGAGTCTGTGAGTGAGTCGCTGAGTGAGTGAATGAGTGAGTCTGTGAGTGAGTCGATGAGTGAGTGAATGAGTGAGTCTGTGAGTGAGTCTGTGAGTGAGTCGATGAGTGAGTGAGTCTGTGAGTGAGTCTGTGAGTGGGTCTGTGAGTGACTGAATGAGTGAGTCTGTGAGTGAGTCTGTGAGTGAGTCGATGAGTGAGTGAATGAGTGAGTCTGTGAGTGAGTCTGTGAGTGAGTATATGGGTGAGTCGGTGAATGAGTGAGTCGACGAGTGAGTGAATGGGTGAGTCGGTGAATGAGTGAGTCGACGAGTGAGTGAATGAGTGAGTCTGTGAGTGAGTCGGTGAGTGAGTGAGTGAGTGAGTCGGTGAGAGAATGAGTGAGTCGGTAGGTGAGTGAGTGAGTCGGTGAGAGAATGAGTGAGTCGGAAAGTGAGTGAATGAGTGAGTCGGTGATAGTACGAAAATCTGTCCACACCGCGGATTGAGTGAATTGATTGAGTAAATAAATAAATAAATGAGTGAGTGAGTTGTTAAAGAGTTCGCTCGTCATGCCGAAGCCCCGGGTTCGATTCCCGACAAGGGTAAGATGTGTGGAGCCTATTTCTGGTGTTCCCCGCCGTGATATAGCTGGAATGTTGCAAAAAGGCGGCGTAAAACCATACTCGCTCACTGAGTAAATGGATGAGTGAGTATTCTAGTTACTAACCGAACGTGGGGCAGACAAACCAGTTGCTGAGACCATGAGCAACTGTCCACACTGTCTGGTAAGATCAGCCGGCGGTGAAACTATTCTGACCCAGAATTACCATGGAATAACTCCTGCCTCATCGTGAAGATAAGGATTGTTGTCTGTTCCCATAATTATAAATTAGCAGTTATCCCGTTTTAGGTTTATCTGTTTTTAACACACGTGTCTATAATGTGAAAAGCCGTTTTCAGATGTCTCCAGTCACGACTCTGCTGGAATGTTGTTAAAAGGTGCGTAAAACCATACTCTTCGCTCATTGATTGTCATATGTGTTTGGAGCTCGGGCGAATGCATCAGCCAACCCCAAGGCGCCGCAAATTGAGAAGTTGAATTGCACCGGTCAGACGTGCAAGAACCCATGGTCGTGGGTTCGAATCCCGTTTCGCCCTGATTATGTTTCTGCATATGTCAGTACCACACCCCAGTCTGTCTCCCAGACGCTGAGGAATATATTAAAAAATGACTCCAACTCAAGTCTAGAGTGATTTGGCAAGTCTGGATTGCCTCAAACAATGGCCATTGTTAATCAGATGTCACTACAGCCTGGTATCGTCAGTGGTGAGCGTTCGCCAACGCCATCAGCAGTCAACCTGCCAGGAGAAACGGCTGCGTAATATGACACTGACAGAGCGTGTGTGTGTGTACACGGCAACATGTAGGGCACTGACGACACTTGCTAGACTTTGTTCAAGGCGTTGATACGCTGCCTGAACGAGAGGTTGTGGACAGAACCATCAATAGTTATGGTTGATTGTTAACTGACTTTCTTAATGATGCCAGCTATTTTACTTGAAAAGGCAGGATAAACTCTAATGATATTACATACGTATCCACTAGTGGTATGTCAGTGTTGGATTATTGTTAACGTCCACATGAAAGTCTATAATCGTTTGGTGAATTTTGTGTTGTGGGACCTAATGATATTGTCAGTAAGGCAGGATGTGTGGGAGAGATTGATCGTCAGTCTATTTTAAAGTTTGATGATTCCATTTTGTCTTGGTCCATTAGAGTGACTATTCCAGTATATATACACTCTTCAAAAAGAGAAACGCACAGGTAGATTATTAGTACTTTTATTGTACCTAATAAAGTCGATATATTTAATTCAATATCATAGATACAAATATGAAATTTTGGAGCTCGATAGTCACATATTGTCGTTGTACAACACCATTGAAAACTGTTCATTGTCATGTCGGGGGCACGGGTGGCCCAGTCGTCTAAGGCGCCGCAATTCGCTGTGCAGAGTTGCGTCCCTTGGGCACGCCAGAAACCTATGTTTGTGGGTTCGAATCCCGGTTCGTCCCGATTATCTTTCTAGGTTTGTCAGCACCATACCCGTGCTCGTGGGTTTCACCGAAGTGGTAAACGTCTAAGACATGCATCACTTCGGGCTTTCCTCCCACATTAAGTTGACACGCCGTGATATAACTGGAATACCAAACTCACTCACTCATTGTCATGTCACATAGGGGCGGTCGGGTAGCCTAGTGGTTAAAGCGTTCGCTCGTCACGCCGAAGACCCGGGTTCGATTCCCGACATGGGTACAATGTGTGAAGCCCATTTCTGGTGTTCCCCGCCGTGATATTGCTGAAATATTGCTAAACGCGGCGTAAAACCATACTCACTCACTCACTCATGTCACATAAGGCCCAAAGGTTGCGCTGAACTCAGTATTTCGTGTGAAGCAATCACAGCTCTGCATCTCATCGGCACTGGCTGGATAAGTGTACGAATTCTGTCCTGCGGAATTCTGCGCCATTCTGCTTGCAACGCGTTGGTCAGTTGTGGGAGTGTCTGCGGTGTGTTCTGACGTTGACGTACACGTCGATCGAGTAAATCCCAGAGGTGTTCGATTGGGTTGAGATCTGGAGATCTCGACGGCTAGGACAAGCCGTTGATGTTGGCATTATGAAGGTAGTCTACCGTGACACGAGCTGTGTGCGGAGGAGCGTTGTCTTGTTGAAACAGCACCCTCTGTCGGTCAATGATTGGAAGAAGGTGACGTTGAAGAATCTGATTCATGTAGCGATCTGCTGTCAAATTTCCCTGAACCACAACTAAGTCAGATCTCGTGGTGTAGGATATGCCCCCCCCCCCCCCCCCCCCCCCCCCCCGCGAAGATGGTTCCTGACAGTCTGGTCCGATATCTTCCTCAAACCAGGGATACGTCCTGCAGTCTCCGTAAGCTGTGGCATTGCGATGACGTAGGTGACAGTCGAATGTAGCGATCCTGTGCAGGGGTGGTAACTCTTGGGCGGCCGGTTCTCGGACGGTCTGCAGTGGAATTGAACTGTGCGTATC